GTACTTGCTCAATTTGCTGCACCCCACTCTGTCTATGGTGAATCCGCTCATCACTCCTGCACTGCTGACCTGTACCGTTCTGTATGCATAAATAAATAAATCTTCCCCCAAAAAAGAAATTGTACTCATTCAACAAAATAAATCTTCCCCCGAAAAAGAAATTGTACTCATTCAACTTTATGAAAAACTGCTATTAACCAGACATGTTAATAATTGGGAGAGAAGGAGGAGTAAAACAAAATTCACAGCCCAGTGGGGGAAGCAAGATGTAAAAATAGATAATCAATAAAAATAATGATGTTAGAGGCACCCAGAGAGTGTTAAGGACAGATGGATAATGAGCCTCTTAGGGAAAATCTGATAAAACTAACTGCTGGTGTGGACCCCTGAAGTGAGTTCTTAAAAAATAAGTAGATACTTGTTAAAAATTACATTTTAGTTAGCTTAAGTGACCTCATTTCTAGTAAATGTGTAATTTCCATTAGACTTTCTGAAGTATTGGAGGGTCAGCTTTTCTTCTCATGAGTATCCTAGAACGACCACCTTTAAAAAAAAGTGAGGTGGGAGCTCCCTAGTGGTGCAGGGGGTTAAAGCACAGCACTACGAAGCTATCCAGCTCTATGACTCTATCAGCAGCCACTGCAGTAGAGTTTGATCCCTGGCCAGGGAGCCGACACACATGGTGCAGCAGACCTCTCCTGCCTCGCCCACTGCTCCCCTCAGCCGTGTGTTTCAGTTGATCCACCTGTTCTGCTCCCCATTCTATCTCTGGTGTATCCTCTCACCCTCTGGCCTGTACCCCAATTCTTGTATGTATAAACAAATCTTTATGAAAAATAAAAAAAGGGATATTAATGGTAGGTGGGAGTTTTTAATTATTAGATTTTAAAAGATGAAGGACTGGCACAGAGAAACCAAATTCATCCAAGAAGAGATTTATTCTTAGCCAAGTTTTTTCAGCTGCTTGGCAGACAGAATCTATACAATCAGAATATGGGGAAGTGTGTCAAATTGCCAGAGCCCTCGCAATCTTACTTGACTATTTTTATTTTTTCAAAACTTCATAATAATAAAAAAGCGATTGATCTGGTTTCTCAAGTAGACTTTCCTACTGCTAAGGATATGAACTAACCTACAGATTCTGCTAGTCCAGTTCATCTTGTGTTTTCAATTTTAATAAATGAGCCCACTCCTTTTTTATCCTTGTAGGTTTGATTACTACAAATCAGTCTCTGGAACCTAATCATCCTGCCATGAGTTGGCAAAATTGAGCCTGCATACTTTCAAATTGAGGATCAATACATGGATCTGAACTAGAAAATCCTGTCTTCTTCATTTTGCTCTTAACTGCAACTTTTTAAAAGACTCAGTCACCATGTGTATATGATGGACGGTGCTCAGGACAGGCCCCCTCAGACACACCACTTTGGCATGTGGATTCTTTTCAGTGGAGGTCAACTGAGGGCTTGGAGGTTCAGGAGAAACTTTTTCTTTAATTACTTACAAAAGTGAAGATTGGGGGCATTATTCAAATGTAGGGGTATCTCTCAGAAAAACTTATCTGGAAAAGTGTACACCTACAGAACAACTGGTTGCATTACTCACCTTCTCCCCATCGTGTGAGCCTCCTGCACTCCTCAATACCCTAAGCTCCTACCCCACCCCTTAGCTCAGAGATAAACCCCTTTCCTCCCCAGCTGACATCAGATTCTTCATAATCATCGTTAAAGAAGAAAATAAATCAATGCATATCCCAGAGAAATACATACATCTATTATTAAGTTGACCTTTTTTCTCCTGCCAAATTATCTGATGCTGCTTTGATTACCAAAGTGGGAGAGGAAATTTCCCCAAGATAGCTACACCATTCATATTCTGACGGCTCTAAAATTCACATCACTAACCTGTATTTCTCCCCCAATCCCAGGCTCTTATATCAATAGCATCTTAAATGGTGATTCCCCAAAAATTAAAAATAGAGTTACCACATACTCCAACAAAATTATCTTGGGGCATATATATGCATAAGAATGGAAAACAAGGTAGCAGATATTTGTAAATGTCTGTTTACCATATTATTCACAAGAGCTAAAAGGCAGAGGCAATACAAATGCCCATCATTAGATGAATGGATAAAGAAAAATGTGGTATATACACACAACAGAATATAACCGAATCTTGAAAAGGAAGGAAATTCAGACAAACCATGGATGAATCTGGAGGACATTATGCTAAGTGAAATAAACCAGTCACAAAAAGTCAAACACTGTAACTTTAACAAATATTGATTTCACTTCTATAAACTATGAGTTTGAAGTATGAGTAGTCAAACTCATAGAAAGTGAAATGGTGTTTACCAAGGACAGGGAAGTTTTTAATGATTATAGAGTTCTAGCTGAGATGAAAAATTTCTAAAAATTACTACACTGTACACTTACAAAGGGTTAAGATAGCAAATTTTACTAGTATGTTGCCACAATTAACCGTTTTTTTTCTTTAAAGAACAAATTTTTGTGGCCCTCCCTGGTGGCGCAACATTTCAGGACACAGCACTGCAAGCTAGTTGCAACCACTTCAATGAGAATTCGATCCTTGGCCCAGGAGGTGACCCACAAGGAGCAGTAGACCTCTCCTGTCTCATCTACTGCTCCCCTCAGCAGTGTACTGTCAATCTGCCTGTTCTGCTCCCCACTCTGTCTCTGGTGAATCCTCTCATCGCCCCTGCACTTCTGGCCTGTACCCCAGTTCTGTATGCATAAATAAATACATCTTTAAAAAAGAGAGAGAACAAATTTTTGCTTTTTGAACCTTTTCTTTTGATACTTGGAAATGAGCACTGCTATTTCTGAGTGTGTGGTAAATGGCTGTGGATCCTCTTTGATGAATGTCAAAGTCTTTTTACATGGAAAAGGGGACTGGAAGGATGATGTAGCGTACATGGGTTTATTCTACTGGGGGAAGGAGTATCTTTTCAGTTCATAGCACTGCGTACCATCTGCATGTAAACCACTGAAGAGGCATGCTTTGGGAAATAAGCTCAAAATTATGATCAGATGAGGATTGCTAACTTCTCACTTAAGCACAGTGGTTCCCTATTTTTAAGGGACTATTCTGTATCAGATTTTTAAAATTACTCATTTTTAAAGTAAAGATTTATTTACTTATGCATACAGAACTGAGATTCAAGCCAGAGGGGCAGGGGCAGTGAGGGGATTCACCAGAGACAGAGCGGGGAGCAGAGCAGGCAGATCTACGAAGTACACTGCTGAGGGGAGTAGCAGGAGAGGTCTGCTGTACCATGTGGTCACCTCTGGGTTTAGGGATTGAACTCACACTGAAGTGGCTGTGGCTAGATTGCAGTGTTGCATCCTAACCTTTTGTGCCACCACGGAGGGCCCATAATATTACTAATTTTTTGGCGTTTCTAATCTAGAATGTGAAAATACCTTCAACTAATTTAAAGACAGCCAAATTCACAGTACAAGATATTTAGCATTAGCGAGAAACTGGTCATATTATAAGCAACAGATATCCTCTATAGACAAACAGCCTTGTGACTGAATTTCTAGTATGTATGAAACATTTTTCAATATCAGAGCTATTATGTACAAAGAACTGAAATAGATGGTAGGACTTGTGAGAATTCTGAGCATAAATACACAAAAGCAGAGCATATAGACAGGCTGCTCTTAAGTTTTGACTGTTTCTGGTGCTAAAAGAGATCAGAATAAGAAACCAAAAAGCATTTCAGACGGTAATGGCCACTTAAAAACACTATTCCTGGCATTAAGGAGGATATGAAAAGGTATGATGTCCAATTTCTTTTATTTTATGGAACTTAATCTAGTTGAAGATTGGACACAGCCATGTTTTTGTGTTTTTTTTTTTTCTTTTTTCTTTTTTAATCATTGGGAAGTTAGCAAAAGCCAGGCATGTATAGTAAGGGCTTAATGAAAGTTTATTAAGATAATGGGTAAATGTTTAAGTGAATATATATGTGATAAGAATCAAATAGATGATATTTTGGAGCAGTCCAATCCTTCCTGCAATCCAATTTTGAGACTCTAAGAATGTGAACTTTACCTTAAGCATCTATTGATTATTCAGCACAGAATGGCAATCTGACAGCAGTGTGCAGAACAGAGGAGAGAGCTTTGTCCAAACAGGTAAGAACAGGAAGTAGAAGGGCTATATTTTTAAAGTCTGACCAAGGGAGATAATAAGCTTGGGTAAGGCCTTTGAAGTCTGAAGAGGTCATGAAAAATACATAAACAAAATACAGTTGGCAAGAGCGAGAATTTAGTGAAGAGATCGGTTCCAAGTTGAGGTAGACATTGGAGAGTTACAACTGCAAGGGACCACGGAGATTGTCTACATCAACCCTTTGTAATCTTGGCTTCACTACTAAGGTAAATGAGATTCAGAGATGATGAAAATGATGAGCATGGTGATGATGGTGGTGATGGCAAGCTAACATTTTTTGAGTTTGTCAAGCTAAGTTCTTTACCTATCTCTACCTCATTGCGTATTCACAAAAATCTCAAAATGACTAGAGAGATGCCCCTTTTTACAAGTAAGGGTTGATTTCACCCTTTAGAACCTAAATGAGTCCCTCTCCGGGGAAAAGCCAGTAAGGTGAACCTTTGCTCGGAAAGGTGAAGATGCCTCTTTAGGAAGCCTCCTTATTGGAGAAGGAATCCTGGGGGCATGGACCAACGCCAGAGGTAGACGACCTGAGCCTACAGGTCTCTGCACCTGTCTCGCCCCGGCTGCGGTCTCTTGCCCACCAGGGGGCGACCGGACGGCTCACCGGCGCGCCCCCCGCGCAGGTGCAGCGGCGCCCCGCCCCCTCACTCCGCCCCGCCCCTCGGGGACCCCGCCCGGCCCACCCGGCGCGCGCCCGGCGCGAGGGTGCGGGGCGTGAGATTAGACGGTGGGAGGGGTGGGGATGGGACGCGAGGGGGTCACGTCAAAGCGGCGTAGACAAAGGGCGGGCGCGCGCACGTCCTTACGCACGCCTCGGCCGGCGGCAGCGGACTAGGGCGGGAGGGACCGTCAACGGGATTTGGAGCCCCGGAACCTCGCGGTCGGTGAGTAGGGCCGAGTCGACTCCTTCTTGAAGGTCACTGGCCTCAGGGGAACCGAAATAAAAAGTGGGGTTCGGGGCCGGGCGACCCGCGCAGGGCCTGCGGTCCGGGACACCCTCCCTACGCCGCTCTGGCGTCAGGAGACACCATTACCGCTTCCTGGGGTTTCCCGGCCGCTCGGAATGTCCCGCCCCCTCGGCTGCAGTGGAACAGTCCGCACCCCTCCGGGGGCCGGGACCCCGGCGCCCTCACACCCTTCCCCCTCCGACGCTGGCCGGGGCACCCAGCGCCACGCTTGCCTCCTCGCCGCTCCCGGAGGCCAGTGCCGCGCTAGCTCCTCGCCATTGCTCCTTCGGCCGCCCCTCTCCACATGGACTCTTCGGTGTCCATTGGGCCTCCCTGCCCAGCCCCAGGGGTTTTAGAGCTCACCAGAAAGCACCTTCACCTATAATTTTCTGACGGTCTTTGACTTCTCTGGGGTGTAACCGCTGCTGGTTGTCCAAAGGAACCCCATTTTTCTAATTTTCTTTAAAGCATTTCTTCCCCCACCCCCATCTCTCGCCTTTCCGTTTCTATTGCACGCGTGGCGAGGCGGAGCCCTACTAGGGGGGTCTATTTTATTTCCTCACTTTATGTCTCACGTTGGGGTTAACCTTTTGCAGTTTAAAAGTAATGGGAAATATACCAAAAAATATAGATACATTTGAAACATATAGTAGAGTTCTGTACAAGTAAACTCCATACTGAACTAGATATCGGTGCCTCTCACTGCTCATGCCCACTGTGCCGTGGATCTTCCACCTGATAACCTCTTGAGAATGTTCGAAGAATTTCCTTTCTGGTTCATTTTCCTTAGGTTTGGCTGAACTTTGAGAAACTCTGTTTAGGTTCATGTCTTGTTGATTCTATCTTGACCCAGCGGAAATGGTCTGAAAAAGCAGTTATCTTTATGCCAGAGACGGTAGAAAAGAGTCCCATAATAATGCCAGTCCGGTGTACTTTTCTCACTTCGACAGTGATTTTTTTTCACCTTTGCTTCATGGGGCAGTTTAGACATACAAAAGTAGAATAGCAAACCAGCATGTACCATCATTCAGATTCAACTCACAGAGGTCCAAGCCTAATCATTGAGAGAAGTCCTTGATGTCAAAAGCAGCTTGAGATTTGAAATAAAGACATTACTAGTGTATAAAGTCATGGTATACTTTCAGTGGGACACTATTTAATGACCTACTGTTGTAATTTCTTCCACTCCAAATCACTAGCATCCTAAAGGACCAGAGGAGGGTATCCAGAATGATCAAGCAACTCCAGTACAGGTTAAAACAAAAAGCATTGAAGGTCTGGATGAGAAATTCCAGGTTATCTTGCTTAGCTTTTTCAATTTTTATTTAAAGATTTATTTTATTTATGCATACAGAACTGGGATACAGGCCAGAGGAGCAGGGGTGGTGAGAGGATTCACCAGAGACAGAATGGGGAGCAGAACAGGCAGATCCAGGATGTACACTGCTGAGGGGAGCAGTGGGCAGGTCAGGAGAGGTCTGCCACGCCATGTGGGTCTTCTTGGGGCAGGGATC